CATACACGTGTGTGTGTATGTATTAAAAATTAATAACAATGATAGTTCATCATTTACCTAATGACCACCTTGGGACGAACACGGCTTTTTTACACATGATTTTGTTCAGGTTTCTTTAGACTGTATTATTACCATCTTCATTTTATAGATGAGGAAACTATGGCACAGAAATAGCAAAGCAAATGGTCCATGGTCACGTGGTTCATAAATTAAAAAGCCAACATTCAAAACCATAACCCTTTCCTTTCTACCAGAAAAATAAGAGAAGAATAGGGTAGAAGCAATATATACATAAGAACTCAAAGCCTGGCAGAATATGTTCTATCCTTAAGAAAGAAGATTCGAGGCCAGCAGGTGGCGTGGTGGTTAAAGGCACTGAATTTCCGCATGACCAATCATGGTTCGATTCCCTGACCTGGCAGCTTGCTTTCTCACTTTCTCTTTCTCTTTATCTCTCTCTGTCTCTCTCTGATCAAATTTTTAAAATATGAATAATGATGGAATTAAATGAATAAATAATTCTTAAAAGAGAAAAGCCAAGAAAGAACATTCATATTCGGTTTTCTTGCATAAAGACATTTAAACTGGATCTCACTTCTAGAAAACACCTCAATAGTTATGGAGTGAAGGGTATTTGATTCAGGGTGAAGGGTCGGATCTGAAATGAAGGCCTCATGAAGACAGGTCATTGTGGAACAGTAAGACCCTCATTTGACTGCAGTTGAGCCAGGGAGAAGCAGGGAACACCCGAGAGGAGCCCCTAATATTCGTCTCATACCCACGAGCTAGGTCCATTATCTTATTTAACCCTTATTTTATCCCCTCAACACAGCCCTAGGGGATGTCTCATCATTTCACAGATGAAACACCAAGTAGTCTTTCTTACTTTCTCTCTCTCTCAGTCTCCCTCCCCAGTGAGAGCATGTGCCTTATAGCAAATTTAAAAACAAAAACAAAAAAACCCGGAGGAATAGAAACATTTAGTTTATCCCAGTTACCCAGAGTGGGCCTGACTACCAACCCATCAGCTCCTTTGAATATCTGTCACTGTCACCCAAGATGCTATGTTGCAAAAAATAATCAGTCCCTTGGAGCAAAGATTCTTTTTTTTAAGAGAGTTTTGCTATAGGGAGTATGGGCTCACCAGAGAGACAGAGACACAGAGAAAGACAGCAAAAAATAACCCCCCAGCAGGGGATGGCCACTTTGTAATCCCTTCTCCTATGTTTTCCTCTCAGGGTTTCGGGCATGCACACACACAGCATAAATTTCAACCCGCCGGGTACGAGACTTGAACTGTGATCTACTACACGGGAGTCTAGCAACATAACCATTATACCATCTGTTGATCCCCAGGACCAAAGATTCTTAGGGTCATGTATGTAGTCCTAAGTGGCTTTAAATGCTCTACAGGGCCTGGCCCAGACCTAGGCACACAGAGGCCCTCAGTACAAGTCCCAATTGTTATACGGATTTTGTTATGGGCTCATTCTTCTGTTCAGAGACCTGAGATGCATCCATTTATTGCACAAAAACTGAGAGGGCGAGGTTAGCCGGTCCTCTCACCTCCAGCATTGTTGGGGGTGTGGACAGGCCTCCCAGTGTGAGTCTAGGGAAGACAGCTGCGTCCACTGGGCTGGGGTTCGGGAGATGCACCTTCTGGCCCTGCTCTACCATGGGCCTTGGACAAGTCATTTTACCTCTTTGAATCTCAGATTCTCCATGTAGAAATTGGGGGTTTTGAAAAAATGATGTCTTAGTCAGGGCCGCTATAACAACTTACCGTAGGCGCGGGGCTTAGACAGCCAGCATGATTTCTCACAGTTCGGAAGGACGGAAGGCCAAGATCAAGGTGTCGATAGACCCAGTGCGCGGTGAGGGCCCACTTCCTGGTTTGCAGATGGCCGCTTGCTGTGCCCTCACACAGCAGAGAGGAAATGAGCTAGCTCTGGGGCCCCTCTTATAAAAGCACGACCTCCGTTCGTGAGGGTTCCACCTTCGTCTGATCACCTCCCAAATCCCCATGTCTGAATACCATCACATTGAGGTTAGGGTTTCAGCATATGAATTTAAGGGGGAACCAACTTCTAGTCCATTCCAGAAGATATTAGGAAAGTGACATCGTGTGTGGTCAGGGCTAAAGTGGGAATGTCTAATGCTACGACTTTGAACCACAGAGAGGAAGGGATCCCGAGGGAGCCACCGGCACCACCAGCGTGCCAAGTCCGTGTGGAAACCAAATACACCTACAGTTCGAAATGCTGAGAAGTCATCTGCCTCCTCACCCAGGGGTCCCTTGGTACAGTCTTGCCTACCGTCCTGGTCAACGCCAGCACCTTCCCACTCAGGCCTCCCCTCCCTGCCACTCTGCCTTGCCATGTCCACAGAAAAACAGAGCCCTACACTCTGTCCCCAGGGAGCTTGTGCTCTAAGTCTCAAGTCAGAGGCTGGAGGCAAAGCCTCTGTCCCCAGAGGAAGATGCCAGGAATCTTCCTGGCAATGACTGGGACTGGTCCGGAGCACTGGCCTTGGGGTGCACTTGCGGAGTGGAGAAGTGTCCCAAGCCAGGCCTGCCGCAGCCTCTCAGCCTTTTCCTGTCTTCTCGGTGAGTCTTCGCTTCTTCATTTATAAATGAAGAGCTTGGACGAGATGGTTGGTAACTCCCTTCCTAGCTCACAAACTCCAACTCTAAAGCCACTTGTTGCTACAAGCATGAAGTTAGGAGAACTCCCTGGAGTCGACTGTTAGCCCAGGAGGCTTTTGAGAATGTGGCTTGACCGGTATTGTGGGTGTGCTCAGACTCTCCCAAACCTCCAGTGAAAGAAAAATCCCCAGTGAACTTTCCTCGAAGGATATCTGCCAGAGACTTGCTGGGCGTAAGGATCAGGTCAACAATGACCCTCCTGCCCTCACTCACAGCCACCTCACTAAATTCAAATATGCAGCTGATCGGAAAGGCAGGACAGGATTCTTCACACGTAAACTATCTTTATTTTTTTTTTAATCTCATTTTCTTCCTCTTGTGTTCCCTGGGAAAAAGCCTTTGCAAAGCACAAGAAAGATTTTTTTCCCCAAAAGAGTTTACTTCAAGGTTAGTTAAACAGTCAGCCTTTTCCTGTCTTCTCGGTGAGTCTTCGCTTCTTCATTTATAAATGAAGAGCTTGGACGAGATGGTTGGTAACTCCCTTCCTAGCTCACAAACTCCAACTCTAAAGCCACTTGTTGCTACAAGCATGAAGTTAGGAGAACTCCCTGGAGTCGACTGTTAGCCCAGGAGGCTTTTGAGAATGTGGCTTGACCGGTATTGTGGGTGTGCTCAGACTCTCCCAAACCTCCAGTGAAAGAAAAATCCCCAGTGAACTTTCCTCGAAGGATATCTGCCAGAGACTTGCTGGGCGTAAGGATCAGGTCAACAATGACCCTCCTGCCCTCACTCACAGCCACCTCACTAAATTCAAATATGCAGCTGATCGGAAAGGCAGGACAGGATTCTTCACACGTAAACTATCTTTATTTTTTTTTAATCTCATTTTCTTCCTCTTGTGTTCCCTGGGAAAAAGCCTTTGCAAAGCACAAGAAAGATTTTTTTCCCCAAAAGAGTTTACTTCAAGGTTAGTTAAACAGCATTTTCCCATAAATAAGCATAAAAGCTATGTCCCCTGGGCTGATTTCTTTCAGTTTATACAATGATTACAATGACTCTCGATTCTATACACGGTACCATCTCGCTTTGAATAATAACAGCTAAAATATATAATGCTAGTATTTTTAAATGTACACACACATACACAGAAAAATGAGTAACCTTGACCCTGGACTATTACAGTATTTTGAAATGATTTTCGATGTGTCTTGATTTCACGCATCTTTGTTTAACTTACGGGTTACTGTCAAGCTGTGTTAATCCTGTTGATCTTTAGTCTGTATATCAAGGTCCAAATTATTCGTTTTAGTTTAATCCGTTCTACTAAAAATGTTAGTTATGTCTTTAGCATTTCAGTCATCTAGGGATGAATGCTAAGTTTCGAAAGAGATTCTTCCAGTTTCAGAGATATCCGGATGTTTAGAGAGCACCTAGCCTATGCAGAAGAGGAAGCTGAAGCCCGGAGAGGTAAATGGGTTGTCTAAGGCCCACAGCCAACTGGAAGAGAGGAAGAACTAGAAACTGATTCTTATCTTCCAGGTGTGGGTTATTTCTGCTACAGAAGGCTTCTCATGTTTTCAGTCAAAAAACACCCAAATAAGGCCAACTGGTGGCGTGTACTTAGGGTGGCTCAATCCCACATGGCAGACGGCACAGTCCAGAGTCCTGGACCCAGCAGCTTCGAAAACACTCCAAGGATGTGTGAGGATGTGGCCAACAGCCTGAAAGGAGGGAGAAATGGAGGAGAAGGAATTGCAGTGTGACCATCGGTCGATCCTCCCCTGGAAGGTGTTTCCTCACTTTCTCTCTCTCTCCTTTGTCTCTCCTGTGAGCGCTCGCTAGCAAAAAGCAAACAAACAAACAAACAAAAAACCAAGTAGAGCTCAGTGACTTCTTTCAGGAGGCCATTCACCCAAGTCCTCATAAAGCCTTTTTACCATAAGCAGACAAACAAACAAAAAGACATGGGGAAGAGAAAAAAAAGTGGACAGAGAGTAGAGCTGGAGGGAGAGGGCATGACTGAGCGAGGACAGTGAGACCCGGCGTGGCCAAAGAACAGCCTGCGACCGGGCACGGAAGGCACGCGGGAGGAGGCAGACTGAAAAGCCTCTCAGACATGTCAAGTTTGGATGATATCCTAAGAGCAATGGGGAGTTATTGGAGTGTACTGAGTAACAAGGGATATAATCAGATTCGAGTCTTATTAAATGTATTTAGTATTTTTTAAGTTGAACACAGCATGAGGGTCCTCAGGCAGTGAGCTGTCAGGGAAGCACAGCAAGCCTCGGGAGAGAGTGGCCTCTTCAGTGTGTGAGGGGATTTGGGCTGGGGAGCAGCCTGGAGGAGTATGGGGGGACAGAGAGGCTTGGGGTCACCCACTGGGCTCTGGGCGAGTTCTCAGACCGGTTTCTGGTATTTGCCAATCAACGGGTTGCCCTGGGCCAGCGAGAAATTCAGAGAGAACTATCCTTAACTTGGAAAAGGGAGCAGACGGAGCCTAGGCCTCCCTGGAGAAGAAGGCAGGCAAGGGGGAGGAGAGAAGATGGAGAGAAAGTGGGGAGAGGGCGAGAGTAGGAGAGGAAAGAGCCTGATGGAAACCACCTAGGACAGCCTGGAGTCAGAGGTGACATCCTCTCTGCCCAGGGAGGACGTGGACACAGGCCCGTCCTTGCCCTGTGATTTCACTGGGCTGAGACATCTGAGGTCACTGCCAGCTCTGCTCTCCCCGTGTCTGTGAGCACTTCCACAGCCAGGGCCGAGGCCCAGGCCCCCAAGGGCACGGAGGCCGGTAAGGTGGGCAGGGAGGCCGGTAGGGTTGGCGTGGAGGCCAGAATGCGCAGGAGGTGCCCGCGAGGCATTCCAGGAAAAAGAAGGAAACCTCCAAGAGCCACTCACTGGGGCTTCTTAACCCTCCTGTGCCTGTGGCCCTGCCCGGAGGCTGGGAGCCTGCGGCTAGCCCTCTGGCAGGCCAGGGCAGCAGCCGGTTGGGGACTGGTTTCCCTCGGCTACAGACAGCCTGGCTCCGGGCCCACCTCCCGGTGCCCTGGGCCTGACATCTTCTGGGCAGAGCCGCGGTGCCCAGGGAGCCGTGTGGATGGTGTTAGTAAACACGCTTTCTTGCGCCCAGCCTGGCAGGGCCTGTGGGCAGCGGGAGGGCGCAGAGCTGGCAGCTCCCACGGCTGGGCAGGCAGGCGGGCAGGCAGAGGGGCGGGCGGGCGGGCCGCCCCGCACAGCCAAGCCAAGGCCCAGAATGGAGCAGCTGCTCGTGTCGCCATGGAGACGGGACTGAACAATGAGCAGCCAGAGAGGCAGCATGGCCGCCTGGCACCGGGCTCTGCCACCCGACCTCACACCTCCACGCACGCACGGCCCAGGCCTCCCTGCTGCAGACCCAACGGGCAAAGGAGAGCGGGAGAGCGGGAGAGAGGAAGAGGGCAGGCCACTGAAAAGGAAGGTGAGGGTGAGGAGGGGCGCTGGGGATCACAGCTCCACTGCTGCAAAGTTGAGCAAAAATCTCACCCTCTGATTCTAGCTAAAAATACATTTTTAAAAACTAGCCAGCTTTTCAGAGGGTCACGTGGTGCCCTGGATTTTTGTGTAACAGGAGAACGAAAGGGGGTTTCTAATTAGCACAAGGCATCTTGAATCAAATCACCTTCTACTTAGAGAGAGGGGTAACAGAGAGCCTACCAGAGCTTTAAGTCCCAGGAAATTAGAAGAACGCTTTTTTAAATGGACCTAAATCCCACCTAATTCCCCCTTGGAGATAATGTGAAGGAGAAGCCAAAAGGTTTAGCCACAGCCTGGAAATGGGGACCTGAAAGGTCTGGTCTAGCCCCTTAGGAAGGCAGAGCGCACCTGCGTTGGTCCGGAGAGCTGAGGGACCTGAGAGCCTTTGCAGGAGGGAGTTGGTTATAGGGCTCAGAGGTTGTGGGGCTCTGAGCACTATCTTTATGCAAGACGCTGTTTTGATGACCGGCAGTCAATAGAGAAGAGTATGTTGATCCCTGTCTTTCAGGAGCTCCAGAGACCCAAGGGGGAGGCATTAGAACCAGGTCTCCCTTTAACTCGGGTAAGCAGGCATACAACCCCCATGGACACCCTCACACTCAGCAACCAGCCACACTCCGTCTCTCAGCCCAGATCCTGATTTCTCCAATGAAAACTGGGTTTCCAAGCATCTGAGCCTTGCAGGACCTCTGTTCAAGGACTGGCAATTCCCAGCCTAATTCCCACCATGTTCTTAATCTCCCAGGAGGTCAGTTGATTTCTTCCTGTTTCAGAGTAGGTGGATGTGCCCAAAGGTTGCTAGACTCCTTTGCAACCCTTTTAAGAGAAAAGAGGGGTCTAACTCTCTAGTTGGGTGGAACATAACAGCTGGAAGGGCTATTTCAGAGATTCTGGTGTCCCCTCCCATCTCCAATTTGGAAAGCACACACTTGGAAGACCTTCGCCAGTGCATGCTAGAGCTGAACCAGAAACTCAGGAGCCTACATCCAAGTGAAGGGAAGCGAGAGTGATGGGGTGCGGGGAACACGAAAGAGGGGATCGGTGTTGAACAGCCCTCTGGGATGGTTTAAAAATTGAGATTCAGAAAGCAGGCAGGAGAAACAATGTGACAGCAAGGAGGACGAGAGCTTGGAAAGAAAGGGACTTGGGGAAAAGAGGCACCTTCAGCCATCAAGCTCATGGATCGAGTCAGTTACTAGCCACTGCATTAATCTAAGAGACACCGAACAGCCCATCCTCGGCTTCTCAGCATCGAAAACAGTAGGCACCGACAAAGATAAAACCCAGGAGACTTTCCAAGGAAGGAATGAGCACTAGGACCAAGCCAGCCACCTCCCCAGCTTCCCGCTCCCTCCTCCCCTGCCCTATCCCTTGCTGGAAGGTTCTCGGAGCTCTGGGAAGCCATCTGCGCCAGCTCAGAAGTGGCGAAGGGGGAATTAAAACCATGAAACGAAGGATCAGAGAGAGACTCTCTCCCCCTCAAGAGCCACTTTAGTAGATGAAAAAAGCCAGGCGATTTTTAATCATCGCAAATTGTTTGAGCCTCTGATTCCATCTCCTCTGAAGCCCAGGCGGCCTCCCCTGGTCCCTAAATGATGCTCTGCCGTGGTCCAGACTCTACCCGGCGTAGTGTCCACCTTCATCCCCCTCCCCACTTCCTGGACCCCTCTGCTTGCCTTCCAAGGTTCTGGCTCAGGCCAGGCTGGCTGGACTCTGCTTATCTAAGGAGATCTGACAAGACTGCAGCCCTCAGGGGTATGGCCGCTGGCAAACCATATGGTACATCGTAAATAGGACTTCCTTTTAGGAAATGAGCGCTGTAATTAAATCCCCATTCATTTTTTGTAACATACACACAGAGACAAATAGATCTTTATCCTTTAGAGGCACAGAAGAGAAATGGCTTGTGGGGAACAGAGATTGTCTGGTGTCAACTCTCCGAAAAGGGCTTCCTAGATCCAGATCCAGGTGGAATGAGAACTTCCACTTCTTAAGCCTAGTCCTCAGCCCAGGTGGGTAAGAGGCTCTGTTTCCCTGTCTAGGACAAGCAAGGGAGGATTTTGAAATGGAAGATTGTTATTCGTCTCAAATTTGGGCCGAGGAAGCAATCGCTCCTTCCCATCCCACAGTCCTGCAACAGCGCTAACTTGGGAGCACCGCTGAAATTAGATTTATAGCAAGTGGGTTTAATTGGACTGGGTCCAACTCTCCCCGCATGTGCTCGCCCTGAGCTGAGCACTGGTCTAGGTACCGCGGAGGGTCACAGGACACAGAAGGGACTCTGGGGAAGGGGGCTGATCCTGTACGACACGCAGTCCCCAGGAAGGGATGCATGGTGAGGGACGGGGGTGACTCTGTTGTGGTGATCCCAGGGAAAAGTAGTACTTCCTGAACAGCCTGTGTGGGGAGCCTCCCAGGCAGAAGGAAGGTGTGGAGCACAGTGCTGAACGCCGCCCAGTGTTTGAGCCACAGGACTCACGAGAGAGACAGTTGAAGAAAAGAGGAAATCGGACATCTCTCCTGTCTTTGAGAACCAGTCAGACCCAATATTCGATTTCCTCAGAAATGCAATTCCCTTCATAATGTCATCAGATGTCTGTTTTCTGGCTCACATTAGGCAAAACAAAATAAGACAAAAAGCACCAGAACTGTTTCCCAAGTTGAAGAGTGTGTGAAAGACATAAGTTGGGTGGTGTGCGGGTCTCCAAGGTGAATGAGATCCTGGGGTCAGCCTTGAGTCATTGACAAACCCTCCAAATTGTAAATGCCACAGGGCTCTGCCCCCTAAGCACTTGTGTTTGAAATCAGGAGAAAACCACAAAGCCTCTTTGAGATGCAAATGTGGCACCGTGGGCTGAGCTCGCTCACAATTCAGATTGCTGTCCCCACTGAGTACAGTGTCCGCAGGGCTGGGCTGTCAGGTCTGGGCTGTCAGCGTGGCTTTGGGCTGGCTGACCTGGAGAAGGTGAACCCCCAGAGTGCAAAACTTGGTATAGGGGAGAAAGTGCAAAGAGCCGGTGGAAAATGACGCATGGAGTGCTGCAGAAAAGGCATCCCCCCGCCCCAAGGGCCAGGGCAAGCTTTATTGGAGGAAATCGCTGAGGAGGGTTCAATACCCCTGGCTTGCCTGTCTGTGCTCCCCTGGCTCAAGTCTACTAGCTGTGTGGCTTTAGCAAAATACTTGCTCTGCCTCCCTCCTGAGTAAAATAGGGAAGATAGTAGATGCCCCTTCTGGGCTTGTGATGTTCACTAGGCAGTGCAAGGTTCTAGGCAGTGCGGGGCAGTAGGCAGTGTGGAGTACTGATGTGTAGGACACTAGGCAGTGTGGGGCAGTAGGCAGTGTGGGGCACTGGGAGCTCCCCTCCCCCCATCTCCATTTCAACAGGAGGTGCAGGCGTGTTGCCGTGCTGGGGGCACATAACGAGTGTTTGCTGTTACTGAACGAATGGTGGAAGTCGATGTGCAAAGATGGTGGGGGTCGGTATTAGGAACCCACCTTAGATGAAGAAAATACTATGCAAATTCTTTTTTTTTCCTTCTAATTTGCTATAGGGTTTATACCCTGCCAAAGAGAGAAAATGAAAAGCATTCCCCAGGGGCATGGCCGCATCACAATCCCTTCTTTTCCATTCTTCTCTCAGGATTCTGGGCATGCACGCACACATGCCTGGCGTGTTTTTCAAGTCACCGAGTCCAGGTCTCTAACCACACAGTCGGCCAGGTGGGATCCAGAAATCTGGCTGGCCCGCTATGTAAATTCTTGGCACCAAACGGATTTCCTCTTGTCATCCATTGCTCAGGCTGAACCAGACCACTCAGAAAGAGAAACCCACGTCTGGGCCTGACGGGGGCATTGTGGAAGGATGCGCCAGGGAGCAAGAGCAGCTGACCTTAGGGTCCCTTCTTCGTCTCAAAGTCTGAGACCTCCGTTCTGCCACACACAGCAGTCTCTCGCTGCTCTGCCATGAGGGAAAGGACGCACATCCGGCAGGGGGGTCCTCTCGGCACTCCTCAAGCCCTTTTGGACAACCCAGAGTATACAGGAGATGGCCACATGGAGGGAACCCACCTCCCCACACCTGAGGTAACTAACTCTGAGGCCCACCGGGCCCTCAGGACCTGCAATGTAGCCTAAGGACTAGGGACAGAGGAAAGCAGTAGCCATAGGAGGTTTTGGTTTCCCTCGCCCTCTCTCTCTCTCTTTCTCTCTCTCTCTCTCGCAAAGCCTCATCTTCTCATGCCCTTCATTTGAAGTAGGACACAGAGCCTGGTTCCTTGCCCAACGTCACAGACAGTCAAGCCATTGGCTAGACCCAAAGTCAACGCCAGGCTCCTTCCTCCCTGTCTTCTCTCACCACCATGAATTGCTCCACCATGTGCAAAGGGCTTCCCCATGGATGATCCCCATCTGCCCCAGGGCAGACCTCAGCAGGCCATTTTGCAGGGAGTGAGCCAAGGCCCAGAGAGGGTGAGTAGTGGTGGAACTGGGATTTGGTGCTCTCCATCGTGTCAAGTGCAGGGAGCAGGTTCTCTCACTGCCCCCATGTTTACGGGTCACATTTGACCACGTCATTGTCACTACCCTCTTCTTGTGCAGAACACCTTAGCTCCAATCTCTGTCCTCTCTTGGACCATCCCTCTCACTCCAGGACTGGTTTCATTGCTAAGAAACCACTTTGTCTATAAACAGACTTCTCCCTTCTGGGAGCACCTTTTCACACTTTTCATCGTTCTCCCCTATGTTACATTGAACAAAACAGCAGTTTTCACATGGATAATTATACTTTGCATTCACTTAGCACTTCCAACTCTTTACAAAACTTTCCCGTCTATTATCTGATTTTATCCTAATAAGCCCACGAGACTGCCAGTGTGCTCCTCATGGCACAGATGAAGACAAGGAAACGCAGAGAAATCGCTATCTGCTTCCAGATGGCCCAGCTCATCGACAGACTGTGCTGAGAGCCTAGTGGAATGCCCAGTCCTACAGTCTTCAACCTACTACGTTCATTCTTCATCATAGGTTGAGTTTCAACTTAAAAATATATATGATGGGGGGGGAAAGGTGGCATGGTGGTTAAGGTGCTGGACTCCCACATGGCCGACTTTGGTTCAAGTCCTGGACCTGGCAGCTTGATTCCTCGTTTGCTTTCTCTCTCTCTGTCTCTCTCTGATGACTACACCAAGATAAATTTAATACTAATAATAAAATGAAATAAATGATTCTTTAAAATAAATTAATATTATTTATACACACACACACACATAGTAAGTCACTTTCAAGGATGGGAAGATCATTTGAGTTTGAGAAATATCAAAATCCACCAGCTGTCACAAAACCACCGGCCTAGAGCTCGGAGTGGACATTCTAATCAAAACTTTGCTCTTTATGCTGTATGTGACCCCCAATGAGTCATTCTCCTCCTAGCCTCTTCTTCCTCACCTGTAAAATTATGAGAAAGGAACACACTGTCCCTGGCATGAGCAAGAAGCGACTTCCAGCTTCTGGAGTCCATAATCCAATCTTCCGATTTGACAGGGAGAAAACGGGCAGTTTTCTTTGACTTTCCAGGTTGGGAATCTGCAAAACAGAGCTGAGATTCACAGAGGAAGAAAATCTGGGCAAGGTCGCTCTTATCCTAATCTAGTCGAGGTGACACCGTGTCAGCTAGAATGCCAGGTAACTGATTACAACGTGAGCGGGCCTTGTTCTGCCTTCTCTCTGCAAACAGGCATTTAATCCCAATGTCCTGTGTGAAACGTATTCCAGTTTGCATGGGGGAAGCCCATAGGTTCTCAATTCTGCCGTGAGAAACAAAGGCCTTCATTCACTGAACAGTAACTCAAGAGGGTAGTTTCTGCTCTTACCAGTCAAAAAATGTTGTCTGGCCACGACATCTCATCGCCCAACTCAAGAGGCCAGAGAAGGCTCTTTCCACACTGGCTCTCTTTCATACGTGGTGAAGCCCACGTTTGCCATTTCCTCCTCCTGAATACAGTCTCAGGTTCATTTTATAGAGAGATACGTCAAGCCAGAGGTTTTAATGACAAGATAATGAGGAGAGGAGGACTCTATTTGTTGCAGGAGGGTTTGTGGTACAGAAAACAAAGCGACTTGGCCATTTGTTTTCGGAAGAAAGACTTGACAAGTCCCTTCAATAGTTAGCTGAGAAGTGACTTCACACATACATAGGAAACATTTCCATCAAATGTACAAAAGTCCCCAAAAAGCACTCTTTCATTCCCAGTGGAGTTCACAGAAGGTGTCTAATGTATGGCCCAAGAGTTATGATACAAACTTATTCATGGAAGACAAATATGTCACCCTCAAACAGCTTCTGAAATATACAGAACGGAATTGCATTCCCAGACAGGGCTGAAGCAGGGAAAGTTTGTCATCAGATGGTGTGTCTTCTTATTCCCATTCATCCATTCGAGGACTGATACTTGGTTAGAGTCGATGGGTTTGCAAGGCACTATGGGAAGGGCAGAGGAGCAAGCCCAGACATGCTATAGCTTGCAATTTTGTCTGGAAATCAATTGACTGCATGTTTGCCTGAACTACAGTGAAGAATATGATAAAACCTTGAAAAAAGGCAAAGCAAATAATTACAAGAATTCCAAGGAAGGGGCCTGCCCTGTGGCTTACTTGTTAAGGGAGCTGAATTTCAAATGGCTGACTGGTACAGGTCGTGGTCCCATGTGACCTGGAAAACATGCAGGGCACACATGAGTGCATACCCCAAATCCCAACAGGAAGGCAAAAAGGAAGAAAAGGGATGGTGGTGTGATCTCACCCCACTGAGGTCTGATTTCTGCCTCTGTGTCTGTCTCTGCCTCTGTCTCTGGCATGTGCCCTCTGGCAATTACAAAAGAAATTTAAGGAAGAAGTAATCCTAGTTTATTGAAGCTTCAAGGAATTGTTTTACATTTATTTATTTAATTTTATTTATTCATTCATTTATTTTAATTTGACTAGAGAGCAACAGAGAGAAAGAGAGAGAAAGGGAGAAGGAAGCCACCAGGTCCAGGACTCGAACCATGGTCAGCCATGTGGGGGTGTCCAGCACCTTAACCACCATGCCACCTGCTGGTCCCTCAAGGAGAGTTTTAAATGTTTTAAAACATTAATGAGCATAGAAGGATCTGGAACAGCCCTATCTTCTAGAACCTTCGAAACAATGGAAATTTTCTCCTCTGAACAATACGCTACCCTATAGTTTTGTGTTGAATGTTAGAGGTATGGTTAGTGTGACTAAGGAACAAAATTTTATATTTCATATTTTAAAAACATGAAAACATGGGACCAGCAGATAGCATAATGGTTACGTCGCTGGATTCCCATGTAGTTGACCGCGGTTCAAGTCCTGGACCCAATGGCTTCAATTCATGTCAGGTGCATGTGCATGCATGCTAAGATCCCGAGAGGAGAATGGAGAAGGGATTGTAGCATGGCCATCCCTCCTGGAGGGGGGAATGACTTCTCACTTTCTGTCTCTCTGTCTCTCTCTGTCTTTCTGGTGAGCACATACACCCTATGGAAAAACCTCTCCATTAAAAAAAAAATTATATATGTGTGTGTGTGTGTGTCCTTCATTTTTATTGTGTATAACATAAACTTTACCACTTTAGCCATGTTTTTAAATTCACAATAGAGGGCATGTACATGCATACAAGAGTGAAAGACAGAGAGGGGGCAACTGCCTGGCCTAGAGGTTAAGGTGACCAACTGTGCAGTTCAAGTCCAGTCCCAGAAGCTTGAGAAACACACCAGGGGTGTGTGCATGTGTGCCCAACACCCAACAGGAGGGAGAAATAGAAGAAAAGGGATTGCAGTGTGACTGTTTCCCAAGGGGGAGTGCGTTCCTCTCTCCCTCTGCCCCACCTCATAAGTGCACTCAGGCACTAGAAAATTCAAAAACAAACAACCAGTGAAAAAGAGAGTGAGCAAGAGGAGTACTCCCACATCCCTCACAGGATCTGATCAGACCATGACTCCCTTCCCTCAGTCCCTCAGTCCTCCAGACGGTCGTCTGTAAGGTCTTGGATGCTTGCGCGGGCGCCCAGTGATAGGGCCAGTGGTTCCAACCATGATCTTCACGTGAGACCCAGCTTGTCTTCAGTATCACCGCTGCACCAGGGAGCTGGCCCGACTATACTGTTTTCACGCGTGCAATCAGTGGCATTAAGTATATTTACAATGTGGCACAACCACCACTACTATTTACAGAACTTTTTCATCATGTCCGATTAAAATGTTGTACCCATTAAGCAACTTTTGGGGCCAGCAGGTAGCATGGTGGTTAAGGCACTTGACTCCCACGTGTCTGGCCACCGTTCATCTCCCGGACCTAATAGCTTGCTTCCTCACTTTCTCTCTCTCTCTCTGATGAGTGCATGTGTCCTGTTGCAAATTTTAGAATAATGATAAATAAAATTAAATAAATCATTAAAAAAACAAAACCACTTATTCTCCCTTACCCCCAGCCCTTGGCAACCTCTATTTTACTTTCTGTCTCTACATGAATTTGCCTATTCTAGGTAACTCACATAAGGAGAATCATGCTATATTGGTCTTTTTGTCCAAGGTTCATCTGTGCTGTAGTATATAGCAGATTTTCATTCTTTTTTATGGCTACATAATGTTCTGTTGATGTATATACCATATTTGGCTTATCCTTTCACCTATTAATATTCTATTTAATCTTAAATAACTAAAAAAAAAAAAAATTTGGAGACCATTTTGCTATAGGGTGCATGCGCTCACCAGAAAGACAGAGAGATAGAAAGTGAGAAATCACCCCCCAGTGGGGATAGCCATGCCACGATACCCTCTCCTCCATTCTCCTCTTGGGATCTTAAGTCCACATGCACATGTGCCCAGCATGAGTTTAAGCCACTGAGTGTGGGATTCAAACCACGGTCGACGACATAAGGTTAGTCAAGAAAGGTACAAAATGGGGCTGCCAGCTGGCATGGTGGTTAAGGCAGCTGGACTTCGACATGGCTGACTGTGCTTTGAGTTCCGAACCGGGCAGCTTGCTCTCTCACTTTTCTTCTCTTTCTCTCTGGTCAACTTCAAGAAAATAAAAAAATAAAATAATGACAATGAATAAAACCAGAGAGGAAGAGATGCCAGCGAGCACACCATCGAGAGGAGAGAAGACCTTTGGGCAAAGAGGAAGGTACATGACAGCTGACGGTCGACGACATAAGGTTAGTCAAGAAAGGTACAAAATGGGGCTGCCAGCTGGCATGGTGGTTAAGGCAGCTGGACTTCGACATGGCTGACTGTGCTTTGAGTTCCGAACCGGGCAGCTTGCTCTCTCACTTTTCTTCTCTTTCTCTCTGGTCAACTTCAAGAAAATAAAAAAATAAAATAATGACAATGAATAAAATTAAACAAAAAATAATTCTGTAAAAAAAAGGAAGAAAGGTAGAAAATGAGGTTAGAGGGCTAGCCTGTGGTGGTTAAGGCACCCTTATCTCACATGACCACCTGTACGGTTCGGTTCACGAACCCACAGCGGGCCCCAATGGAGAAGGGGTTGCAGTGTGATCATTCCCCACACAGGATGCTTTCTCACCTTCACTGTCTGTCTATCTCTCTCCTGCAAGGACATGTACTCTCTGGCAAAAATTTTTACAAGTTGGAGCCAACAGGTAGTGTAATGGTTAAGGCACTGGACTCATGGCCGGAGGCTGTTCTAGTACCAGACCTGGCAGGTTGCTTTCTCACTTTCCCTCTCTTTCTCTTTCTATGGTGAGTGCACATGCCCTGTAGCAAATTTTAAAATAATAATGGTAAATGAAACTAAATAAATAAATCTATAAAAATAATAATGTATATAACATTTCCAGTCTAGAAAGTAGATAAACTAAATATTGTTAAAGTTGCAGGGGAAAAGTAAAACTCCTCACTTTGGAAAAGGATTCCCTGGAGACATCCTTCAGAGGATGTTCTCTCTTAGGACACTAAGAGTTGGATTTGATCTGTTCTTAAAAAGTGCATGTATAGGGACCAGCAGTTAGCGTAATGGCTATGTCGCTGGACTCCCATGTAGTCGACTGTGGTTCG